ACTTTCATTCGAAATGAAGTTCCCCCTAACAATGTTATCTCAGGAGATTCATCGAAACCAAGTTTTTCTTGGTCTGTATCAGTTTCGACTATTGTCTGGACTGTATTCACAGCGACTCTGCTCGCGATAACTTGAAGAGGGGACTTGCGTTTTGCATGTGATACCTTTGCTGCATGTATCCCTAGCTTTTTAGGGTTTCGATCTTGCCCCGTTGTCACAGCACTGGCGGAACTCGAACCGTGGATGTTCAGACTGAGAGGCAAGTACGTTAACACTTCAACTCAACAACCCAAGTCCCGTTGAGTTGGGACGGCAAGCATGACTTTTCTGGAAATTAAATCCTCTCAATTCACTTTATTTTATTTAGAATGTTACAGTTTGAGTGGTCATATCACTTATACAGAGTGAAAGAGGACTGCGCCACACCATTTTGATCTTGATACCTTCGATTAAACTAGACATGGATTTATTCAACCAGCTTCTTTCTCTCTTCCTCCTTCTCTCTCTCTTTTTCTCCCTTTTCAGTTTTGGAGTCGTTTTGGAGAGCTTAAATTACTTAAAGTACTAAAAACTTCCTATGAAAATAAGGAAAGGCAATGAGGGGTTTTACCTCATTTTCTCTACATGTTCATGTTGTCAGGACGGCCTAGATAAACGTATCTAATTCGAAGTCCTTTACCAACTCGTTGAAGAGAGATTTGGGATGGATGAATGTAGCAGACAGTTGGCCATCGGGTGGAATTCACTCTTCTCTTTGATGAAGAGAATGGAAAGACTAGGATGCCGGCGAAAGGTCAGGGAGTGAGCCAATTCATTGCGCGGCGCTGCAAAATGTCGTGAAGAATATGACAGAGGATTTCGGACCAGGCGTGTTTTGCAAAGCCGTCCTGACAACAGGGCCAAGTTGGGAAAACGAGATCAAACCACTTGAGTAGCAAAACTAGTCGATTAGCCTGTCGAATCTGCTGGCGAACAATTGGTTGTCCATCGATACCATAGGTTCAGCCAAATACTTTGGTTGAAGCTGCGTTTTTACCTTGAAGGTCAGGCTTGATGTGTACCACAACGGATTTCGGGCTATTAAAGGTGTTAAGAAGACGATGGATACTATTCTAAGAGGGTGCATGTTGACAACAATCAGCTTCAGGGTAATTGCTATCAAGATGATGCTTAATAACCTTGTTGGGGAGACTTTCATTTCGTACCAAAATACATGATAAAGTTACTGGTCAATCTCACCAGAGGACGACGATCAATTCCTATTTACCTCCAGTCATTTGGCCTTAATACTGTCGTTATGCTGAAGCGTGTTAGCGTCTCTACGCAAATATCTGTCCTAAATCAGGGTAATTACAAAGAAGCCTAACGTCAGAGCAGGATCATCGAGGCTTAATGGCCCGAGAAAAAGTGTGACTGAGATTGCCCAAGTCCATAGGCGACTCTGGTTCACTCAGATTTAAGACTAATGTTGCGTACAAACATACACACACATACACACACTCGAGTAAAAGTAAAATAGTTAGATTTTGGTTTTTTACTTATTAGTAAGTAATGAGTTCCAGCTTTTATGATTTACTTCATATAATGGACGAAAACCCAGCCCATGTTCACTCGAAACGAGGGAGGATGTCCCGAGGACGTTGTATTAAAGCTGACAGTAACCAGCCGCAGTCTTCTAGTGAAACTGACCAACGAATCTCTTCATGCATTTTTACACGAAATAAAAGTCTTTGCAACAATCGAAGCTCGGACGAACAGATGGGGCTAACTGTATTTTACGTCTGATATTATTTTATAAGTATTGTTTTCCTTTTTTTTCTAATTCTCACTTCTTGATATTTGTCGTCTAGCCTCAATTTGTGTTCGTGCACATCTTCCTAGCCTACAAAATCGGCAAAATGACCGCCTTACGCAACCCCACGCCGTCCTCGTCTCTGGCACTCATCCGCACCAAAGTTGCGTCCATTGAAAAATCTGGCGTCGGAAGTCTGAGTGATGAGCCTTGTGGAGTCAGCGGTCTTCAACGTTTACTGGCCCGAATCTCGCAGACTTTGCTAGCCAGCTTTCCCGATAAAAGTCAGGATACTGTATCATCTGAGGCCTCAACTGAAAACAACGCTGTACCAAGCGGCACTGACACCGGCCTTCCTGAAGCCTGGTCGAAGTCGACCAGCACTGGATTGACCAATGGCAAGCTGTCTCGGAAAGTTAGTCTGTCCAAAGTAACTGTAATCAACTTGACCACACCGTCTCTGGTGATTGACCGGCCCAAGTCAATGTTCTCTCAGTCCAACAGCATTAAATTGACCGATTTATCCAGCCGAGCCAATACAGATTTTTGTGACGCAGCGAGTTCCGCAGCATCCTAGACTGCCTCATCATCTCAATTTGTACACCCTCTGTGAGTTTTTTGTGCCAACCTTCATGTCTCGACTGATAACCACAACAAATTCCCTGGTTATGTTTACTAATAATGCTTGATACATTCATCGGAGGTACTCATATACGATATATTTCGGAATTGTCGGCGAATCTTGAATAACAGCTCTAGTCACCGTAGGTCGCACAAGGTGATGATAGTCTAATTTTTCCA